AATCCGAAATCTTTGCTTAATACTCGTAAATCATTTGGTAACTTGGCTCCCTTTCTGCAGCAATCATGCCAGTCATACTATATTTTCCTTTTTATTTTTTAAAGAAATGGAAAAAAGGATATGTGTTACTATAGCAGATTTGTGCAGTTTATAAAAAAAAAAAGAAGAAGAAGCAAAAGCAACTTTTTCTGCTTTGAGGTTTTAAGTATGTACCTAATTTTCTCTGGTCTTGAACTGAAAATTAGATGCTACTCTTTTTTCCCCTTTTACTTCTATAAAAATACATCCAGATATATATCGTGATTACTCCCCAAAGAAGAATGTTATTTGTTGGGTTAAATTCTGCTTCACTGAAAGTAGTGGATATGAGCTTATTGTTCATTAGGCAACATCTCTCCATAGCATTTTGCATTTTATTCTATTAATTGAATCATCAGCTTAGCCTCACAATAAAGTAATACATGAAAATGTATCTCATGCCAAAATAATATTCTAGTGATTAAAAGCCAGCACAATTTATCTGGCTCTTATAGGAGCTACTATTCAACAGATTTTGCCGGAGCACCCAATCTGATCCATGTCTATCTATCCTTTCCCACCCCATTCTACATTCATTACTTCTGCTAATACATTCATACTGTAATAGAGGTGAAAGGGAAGTTTAATTATATAATCTTGACAATGGCAATAGGATTAAGAAGTAATCCTTGCTAATAAAGTACTGCAGGTTGGAAATGAAGTTGAAATTGTCAGGGGTTTTCAACAGGACCTGAGGTGCCCTGGCTCTTGCAGCTGTCTCCTTGGCCTGTAATTGAATGTCTGAAAGTGATTGAAAAAATGTTATTTCTTCCCAGGATTACATGCTAATGTACAGAGGGCAAAGGGAGACAGCAAAAGAACACAGAGCTGCTTATTTCATCCATTTGTGGGAATGAGCTTTGGGAAATCACGGCAGTCGTGCAGCTCTCAGATGCCCATCTGCAAACACAATGTATTTGTACACTGGGAATAGAGGGCAAAGCTGCTCCGATCAGAACAGAGCATCTCTCCCATTGTCCTACTGGCACACATTGAGATTGATGCAAGATTAAAGACTATCACAACCTCCAACAATTGACAGAAATGACAATTCATCTGGATTTTTTGGGGGGGCAGTTATTCACCCATTGATTACCTACGTGTGCACACCTCATCTATACCCACTTTATTAATGCAAAAGGTTACGTGTCACAAATACATTTTACAATTTTTTAAAACAAAGGCCAGGATGATAAATATTCTCTTTGTTGCTCTCAGAATTCCCTGTTTATAAACCACTAAGATGACAAATATAATCCACTTTCCTTCTCTGGATCCTGCTTTATATAACACCCTGCATATTGTTAGAACTGCGTCCAGCCTATTGTTTTGAGTAGTACACTGATCTGCTTCTGTGATAAGCCCTGTGGAGATGTGATTATTCCAATAAAAATGCATTCAAATGGAAACCAGTGCTCCAGCTGTTTATTCCCACAGTCCCTGAGCTGCACTAGCCATGTATGGATAGCTTGAAACATATTTGACAGTTGAAACACAGTATCCTTTTCAGTTTCTAGCACTGTATATTTAACTTTTAAATGTATGTCTTGGCTGTGCATAGCAGGGAATCATAGATTTTTAAAATAGGTCCTTCCTTCTTTCCTTCTTTCCTTCCTACCTACCTACCTACCTACGTACCTACCTGAGGCATTTGGTTCTGAAGCATTTCAAAGTTTTCAGGAGTAGAAAATGAGATGATCTAACAACCATCTAGATGGGCATACGTAATCACTTCCATTGCTTGCAGCTGTACTTGTTCAAATCTTTGGCAACCCAGCAGTGCAACAAATGCATTGCATGTGTTCTTGGAGTGTATATAAAAATGTCCTTTGTTAGAGGCAGCTTGTTTTGTAAAGGGTGGGCTGTATTGATAGAATAAAAGAAGTAACATGCATATGTGTATTTAGAAAATGTTGTGCTTGTTCTTCAGATTATGGCAAACAAAGTGTGTGCTTTTCTTTTCTTTTCTAGGTCCTGTTAGTCTATGTACACCAGCTCAGCTCGTGGCCCCTTGTGTAGTAGTGAAAGGCACTCTGTCCATCACCACCTCTGAAGTGTATTTTGAGGTAGATGAAGAAGAACCCAGTTTTAAGAAAATGGATCCCAAGGTAAGAGATCTCTGACTTTCACTCTCCCTCCTTTTAAAAGACAAATAATAAGTAATCTTTCCATCCAGGCTTTTCTGTCTATTGACTAAGTTTTTCAGTCCTTGATTTAGCCAAAGTCGAGTGCTCATATATGTGAGTCTATTTAAGTATGAAATATATTACTTCTAAGAACCTTTCTTAATTACCTCAAGGCAGAACCCTCCAGGGAGATGCCTGAAATACAATTGCTTGAAAACAAGAGAATGGGTAAAATATCTTAAATTAGCAGTACTGCCCTTTGATATCTGTGTTTTGGCTTTGAATGTTAAATAACATTTTGTTCTGAAAGCATGATTTTTTTTGACATTTGTGCTGTATTGTTCTCCTTAAGCTTTTCTTAAATATACTGTAGTCTCCAAATACAAAAGTGAATTCCATTTCATTACTTCACAAAGGAGCGTTTCTGTTTATAAATTTAAACTTATTTCTTTAAAATATTCACCATGTTTTTCATATTAGAAAGTATTACTGAACATGCAGTCTTTTTAAAGATGTGCTTTATTATAGAAATAATTCTGTTTGTTTTTTAAAATAAGAGTGATTTGCAGTGCTTTCTTGAAGAAAATGGAACACAAAACTGAATGATCTGATGTATGCAGATTATGTCTATATAGGCAACTGTTACACTAACTCCTGCAATTTTATTGTTCTCTATGAATATTTTTACAATATGAATAGTATCATTTATGAAATTTTTAATATCTAGTAGAAAGTAATTCTGAAACTTTTTTTTCAAAAAATACACTTTTATATAGCATTCCACTAGCTAATTTAAAATTATAAACTTACAAGAAGCATGTAAACTTTTCAAGATAAGAGTAGTGTGCATATAAGAGCTTCAGTTTAACTGCAGTTTATTTGGGTGCTAATTTATTCTAAAAGTAAATATGCAACCATCAAATAAAGAGGCAGAATACTTAATTTACATTTACCTCATTGTAGCATTAGAAACTTCAGTATACATTGTTTTAGACTAAACTATATGTATTTCCCTGCTGCTTTGAAATCACTTCTCTCCTAGTAAGAGAGAAGTAAACTGGCATTCGGTTTACAATATTACTTTAAAAACAATGTGAGCCAGACATCTTAAACTGATGGTAGTCATAGAACGTTAGAAAAGCAGTCAACTGTATTAATTTATATGGAAATTGGGAAATGTTTGTGCTAGTGATAGTAGGATAAGCATCAAGCTGTTGAGTTCTCCTTGTGGAAACTTTCTAAATCTTTAGTTGTTTGGGTTATGAAGTCATGCAGTAAAACAACATTGTTTTCTTACAACCCTGGCATTTTCCCATGTCCTTTCTTTTTCTTCCCTCCCTCCTGTTTCCATATGCTGTGGATAACTAAAACTTGAGTAGCCACACCCCTTCTTCCAGTACCAATCCTGCACTTGCTTCAAAGCCTCTTTAATTAATAGGGTTTCCCAGTTTGATCAATTTAATTTGTCTGTGTATTTTTCTAAACTCTGGGAAGGAAAAACCTTGTGACAGGATTTTTGAAGTAAAGCAGCTGGGGATATTGTTGTTACTGATAGCATCAAAGTTTATATTCTTACTGAAAGCCTGTTCCTAACAAGATTCTTGAATTCTAGAGCATAGCCTTTATTCTGGGCTAGTGGAATGGCTGGTGGAGCATGTATGAAAACTCAGTTCATTATAAGCCATTATCAGATTCGAACCATTTTCAGCATAATGATGTACTTATCACATTTGGGTTTCTTTAGCTTTGTTTTTTGCCCCAAAGCAGATACTGCACAAATAAGCACATTGGCATTCAAGCAGGAAATATATGTTAGACCTTTATCAATGCACCAAAACTAAAACAATTTTTCATTTTCAATTTAGACTGTTTTTAGGCATAATGTTTATATGCAAAGACTAATCAACCTTTCCAAAGTATTAAAAAAAAAATCACAAAAAATTTCTGTGACAATTTATCTAAATAAAAAATGAAAGTAAGTTTTTTTGGGGAGGGAAACAAAAAATTCATATCTTTGTAAGGCTGCAATTCCCTTCATATTTATTTGGAAGCAAGCCACTTTGATGCCAGTGATAAACTTGCATAGGTTCAGGATGAAGTTAGAAAAATTCCAGTAGTACAAGGCCGCTCTAGATTAGATAAATATGCACATCAAAATTTGTTTGTACAAAACCTATAACTCTCACATTTGACTCCTTCAGAAGAGAGAAATCATATTTAAAACACATGAAAAATCCTTTCTGAATGAAGATCATTGTAATATGGAAATCAGTGTCAGTTGTCCTGGAGAATGATCCTTAAAAATGGTTCCCATCTTGTTCCATATGCATATGTATACATTTGGCAAAACTATATAAGAATGAAAATTTCCTAGATTTCCTAAATTATATATTTAGGGGTAATTTTACACAGCCTTGAAATTCATGTAATATTGAATATTATCTCTATGCTAGAAAAGGCAGAAGGATAGATAAGTGAAGAAAGAATGAATTTATATTCTACAAAGAAAGGGAAGTTATATCAACTTGTAATAAAATTTAAAAACTAATGGCTGCCTGGTGGAAAAAAATAGCTCCCTAAAGCTGCAGAGTTGTTTTACAACAGAAACGCTTCCCTATTTGGATAATTCGTTTGGTATCAGTTAGAAACATTCAAAATACTTGTTATAATTTGTAAGTGGAAAATCTATCTTAGTTGCCCTTCTGCTTTTCCTATTTTCTGCTTAAAAAGTAAAGTTCTTCCGTACAATCACCTCTTAATTGCCGATGTTTGGAATAAAGAGACACGAAGGCAATGGAAAGTTAAATTCGATTTTTTTTATTTTTTTTATGAGGTTTCTTAACTGTTTTCAACAAGTTCAAATTTAAGCAAATGGTGGGAAGGAAAAGAAGTGCATATAGTCTGTCATTGGCACTGGAATATACATTTAGCACCAGTAAACTTTTATAGCGGTGACTTTTTCTTTTCTTTTTTTTTCTCTTTCTTTTTGGGGATTCTGATTTTTTTTTTTCGTCTTTTAATTTATTTTGTTTTCTTTCCTCACTTTTTTTAAAGAAAGAAAATCGTACATCTAGTTAAATAGCGTTGTTTTTCACTTGGTGACAACATTCAGGCAAACGGACAAGAGAAAAGAGCGACGGAGAGAAGGCGGGGGGCTCACACACACACACACACGGAAGAGTCAGGGCGGGGAGGGGAAGAAATGTACCTCGGGTTTCGCTCGGCTGCCGCCAAGTCCTTTCACTGCCGGGAGAGTCTTGTCTTTTTAAGGACATTTTAGGAAAAGGGGAGCGGAGGAGCAGCGCCGCCGCCGCGCCTTCAGTCTTGGGGCCCGTCCCCCTTCCAGAGTTTGCAAAGGAGCCCCGGGCGCCCTATAGCTTGTCCAGGCTCTTGGGGTTGGTGAGGATCTCCCGGGCCAGGCGCCAGGTCTGCTTGGCGGCGCTCTCCAGGGCCGAGTGGGGCTTGCCCTGAAAGAGGTCGAGGTTGGGCAGGAAGTAGTGCGGGCAGCGGCGGCACTGCAGGCAGGAGATGAGCTGCAGGAGGATGCCGTTCAGGCGGTCGCCCAGGCAGGCCTCGTCCCAGTCGGTCTCCCGCGGGTGCTTCTCGCACTCGTAGAGCAGCAGCGTCTTCATGTGGTAGTTGTTGAGCGGCTGGCCGGGCAGCTCGAGGTGCCGGTCGCGCAGCGTCTTGAGCACCGAGAGGCACTTGTTGCGGCAGCCGCCCAGCAGCAGGCGGTTCTCGGCCTCGCCGAACTGCAGCACCCAGGCGTCGCTCTCGGCCGAGCTCTGCTTGCCGGTCAGCGAGTAGCATTCCTTGGAGAGCAGGTTGAAGCCCTCGGCCTTGACCTCGGCCACGCGGTTGGGTCCCGGCCAGGGGATGTGGGGCAGCGGCCACTGGGCAGCGCTGCGCGGCCAGATGCCGGTGCACTTGAAGGCGGGCGTGATCTGCACCACGTAGCGCTCGCGGATGCGGAGCTTGACCTCGCTGGTGTCGGCGATCATCTTGACCACGTCGCGGTAGCTGCACTTGTCCACGGCCTGCGCCACCAGCGTCTGGAAGCGCGAGCGGATCTTGCGCGCCGACAGGTAGCCCGAGGCGGTGATGAACTCCACCCACAGCGACATGCTGCGCTTGCGGCCGTCGCTCAGTTTGAGGACGGCGCAGCCCGGCAGCGAGCCGTCGTCCACGAAATTGAAGACGCCCATCTGGTTGAGGTAGAGCACCACCTCGAACTCGGTGGGCGAGATGACCTCCAGGCCCTCGTAGCGCGCGTCGATCTCGCTCAGCGAGCTGATGAACCGCGGCTCCTGCACTTCCACCTCTTTCAGCACGTCGGAAACGACCTTGCACACTTCGCGGATGGTTTTGGCGATGGCCGCCTTGCGGGCCTGGCACCGCTCCGTGTAGTATTTATTCAGTTGGTAGACGAGCTTGGCTTGCGCGGCGATCATGTTGGGGCAAACGTCCGGGCTGTACACCGGGCTCTCGCAGTACGTTGACGGATCCAACGCCGCAGCCGCCGTCTCCGTGCGCGCGGGCAGAAGCCAAGCCCGCTTCGCCCGGTCGCTGCCACCGCCGAGGAGGACGAGAGGGAGGACGGGAGACCGTCGGAACCCGCGCTGTCGCCGCCACCGGCGCAAAAGTTTGGCGCTTCCTTTACATCGGAGCTGCGCCCGGTTGTTGGCCTGCTCAGGTTCGAAGGGGCTTCAGTTCTTCATTGGAAAAACTCGTTCCTTCTTCCGTACTTGGGGGATTTGACTTTCCGCAGCAAAAATGTGAGCTCGGGGGGGCCAAATTCTGGATCGACGGCGCGGACAAGAGGGGAAGCCGAGGCGTCCGTTCTCTTTCCCTTCTCTCCTCTCGCCTAGTTCAGGCCGCGGCAGCGCCGCTTTGCTCTGTAGCGTTGCTTTTCTTCCGGAGGCCTCGGCTGAAGAACTCGCCCAAAGGCAACCTTTCCGCCGCTGATTCCCGGCCTGCTCCTCGTCAAAGTTCTTAAGTTTAAGTCCAGCTTTAGGCCCCCTCCGGGATTTCCCCTTTGTTAAAAATTTGATTACAGGTAAACCTTCCCTTTTGTTCCGAATATATTGTCTTGAGCAGCAGGAAGGAGTGTGCGTGTGGATGCACTTTTCCGCTTTCCAGGATTTCTCTCACCCCCTCCCGCCGCTTTCCGTTTCCTTCCCCCTCCCACTTTTGGAGCTGGATGCAGCCTCTCTTATTACTTTCCTGCGCCTCGCGTCCTCTCCCGGCGCGGACGTCTGGAGGTCTCTGCCTTTGCGGAGAGGGTCGTTTAGTTTATGAATGGTCCCAGGGCCCTGCTGAAGGGAGGCGTGGCTCGGGAATCCTACAATCGCCGCCAGAGCTGTCAAGAGGGCCAGCCAATCGCTGGGCCGAGCCGCCTACACGGCCGCTGCGGGGCCCGCCACGATTGCAGATGCTGAGGAAGGAGGCCGGGAAAGAGAGAAAGAGACTGGAAAGATGCTTAAGGCACAGGCATTGATTTTATGCACGTCTGTGGAAACGAGCACGCACCTTACCACGCTGTACCCTATTTCCCAATTAACCGAAGGCCAGGAGAGAAGGCACCTCGGTCCTCCAGAAATGGGAGTGAGAGAGAGAGAGAAATTAGGAAAAGTTGCTATTGAAGACATTGCTGTGAATAGTAATGCAAGATCTCCACTTATGCTCCTGGGGATGCTCAAGATGCAAATCGGGGGCTTGCGGTCCCAGTTTAGACTGAAACGGATCGTTCTACAACGGATAGCAAGACAGATTAGCAACCTATTGAACATGGCGGGGAAGGAAAAACGTATGAAGGAAGAAGAAAAGAAGGAAAAGCGTAGTTTTCACACATGAACACACACAGATTTACACAATAGTACTTTTCCAGCAGGACCCTTGCGATTCCTCTCTAAATCTATTGCTGCTCAACAACTCCAGCATTTGTAAAAATGAACCCAATTATAAAAAACAATTAGGACCCTTGATTATCCAACCTGAACAGTGTTTCGCTTAAAATTAACGATACCGTGCAATACGCCTAGTATACTGTTGCAAAACAGTAGATATGGCTTAATATTCTATCACTATGAAAAAGAGGTTTCGAGTTTGAAGTTTGGCACGTTATATTATTGTATTTCTAATTACAAGTGGAGTTCCTGCTGGATTCCAGCCAGTGATCTCAGAAGCAATTGTTTAACAATTATCACATTTCAGTATCTCGAGATTTATTAGTTATTTTCGTCCCGAAGGGCTAAGACAAATATTTATTCTTAGGTACCAGTGTAAGCGGGTCAGCCGGGGCTTCCACGCAAAAAGGTTTGTGCTTAATCGTAAATAAATTGTAAACTATTTTAGAGAGAGGGAGAGCTAAGTGAAAGCACTGACTCTTTTCTGAGAAAAAAGTTCATTCACCACTAAACCCACCCACCCCTCATTCCAGTAGATACTTACAGAATTCTTTAATATTTTCGGCTAATCATCAGTGTAAAATAGCCTACGTATGAGTAAGATATATCTTATTTTCTAGTTGGGCGCTAAATAGGTGACAGACGGGATTTGTGTGGGCACAATTGTATTTCACTTAAAAACAGCGAGATTTTCGGATCTCAGCAAACAGCAACAACAATCATTTTTAGCCGCTTTGCTGCAAGCCTTTGTTCTCTCCGAGGGGCTTGGAAATAAGCAATCCTGTGTTTCTGGGATTTTGGGATTGCCATGACTTGAAGAAGAAGTGAGGCCTCAAGCCTTGCCTAACCCGTTATCTTCTCCGTTCATTCATCCCATCGGGTGTTAGAACTGAGTAGGACCCAGCGGCTGGGTAGGGGCCGTGGGCCACCAGTGTTCTCCACGGGACCAAGTCTTATTTGGAAAGCGCTCCATTGGCAAGGCGGTGCACCGGTTGCTCCCAACGATCCGCCCCCACCACCATCTCTTCGTTCATTCCACTGCTCTGGTTCCCGTCCGGTTGCTTCTCGAGCTTTTTTGAGGGGGGGGGGCGTAAAGAGCGGGCTTCCGCCACTTCTGAGGTTGTCTGTGGAGCGGGCTAATGGAGAACTGGGTAGCCCGAATCGAAAACCGGGATTGGGACCGGAACGAGAGGGCTTGCGGGAGGCCGTAACCTTCTGCATCCCGCTAGAAGCCGTCGATGGCTGTTGTAGAGTAGCCTCTGTTTGACTTGTCCAGTCCAGCTGCAGCCGTCTCATGTGTCAAGCAGTCGGACCTAGTAGCTGTTGTAAAGCAGGATTTGTTTCCAGGCGAGTCTTGGCTGCTCGTCTGCTTTTCCCTCTATTTTTTATAAGTTTCCCCTCCCCCCCCCCAAATCTTTGCCGACCGACGGACCCAGGTTGCAAGATATAGTTTAAAATCTTATCCTTCCAGAAGTACAGTGAAGAGTAAAAGAGCCTTGGTAGTACAGTGGTTTAATGCACCCTGTTATTAACACAGCTGCCTGCAATTTCTGCAGGTTCGAATCTTACCAGGCGCAAGGTCGACTCAGCCTTCCATCCTTTCTAAGGTAGGTGAAATGAGGACCCAGTTTGTGGGGGCAATAAGCTGACTTTGTATAAATATACAAAAGTATGAAGGCTATTGCTTAACGCATTGTAAGCCGCCCTGAGTCTCCGGAGAAGGGCGGCATATAAATCAAATTAAAAATAAAATAAATAAATAAATAAATAAAAAAAGTAGAAATCCGGGAATTGGGAGGGGGGCAGGCACAAGGCTGGGGAGGGGAGAAAATGCTTAATGGACGACATCCCGTCTTTTGGCATAGGCTAGTTTGCGCCCTTGGAACCCGCACCTTTCCAGAGAGGCCAAGGAAGCAACCCCGGCCAAGCCTATAAGGGCCCTGCGCTCTCGCCTCCACCTCACTCCGCAGCCGCATCTCCGCTGGTCGCGCCTGCTACTTAGAGAGAACCCCCGTCTCGGTTTTCCCAGAGGCCGCGTCCCAGAGCCGAGTTACGCTCGAAGGGCCGGTCATCCCGAACCACCGGGGCCCCTGCCAAGGAGAAGACGCGGGTTGCCAGCTTTAGCTCGGCGCCAGCCGCCTTTCTATTCGCGGGCCTCGAGTGGATCCCTGCTGTTCTCTCGGTTTGAGGCTTCCCCATCTCTCTCTCTCTCTCCCCGCCGCCCCGTCTGAGGTCGATGCTCTTGAAAATAATAAATCAGTTGGGAAACAAAAGCCGCTCGGATTTATGGTCCGAAGCGCTAATTAGAAACATCATTTGAGCAATAAACTTAAACACTTTCGAGCAAATAACGCCTGCGGAAAAAGAGGGGAAGCGAGCCAGGAAGCTGGTCCTCGCCTACTGCGGCCGAGCCCTGGCGGCTTTAAGAGCCCGGGACCTCGCCGGTGACGGAACTTTTAAGGGAGGACCCTGAGAGGGAAGACGGAGGGTTGCGGGCATCTGTCGAAGAAGCGAAAGGCTGCGGAAAAGCCGTCCCGCTCGCCCTGGCCTCCCGGGAATCGACGCGTCCGTCAGCAGCTCCTTGTTGGGATCTTAGTCCGCCTAGAGGAGCTGAAGCTCCTGCTGGCGTGCAGGCGAAGGAGGCGGCGGGCCAGTGCCGAGTGCGCGCAGGGTCTCTCTGGGTTAAAAGCCACTGGAAGGCTTCGGCCGATTGATCTGCATTTCCTCCCGTTACAATCCGTCTCATCGGCCTTGAGTTAATGAGGCGGGGGAAAGGCGCGATCCCGGAGCCCTGACGAATTCATTAGGGAGGCTGCGGGCCATTTTCTTTGAGGGTTGAAAGTGCGGGTTGGGTTGGTCTAACCAACTCTCCAGCCGCGCAGGAATGCCTTTGCCCTCTCCTTGGTTTTCCCAGCGACCCTCCCTCGCTCCTTTAAGACCGGCTGAGGAGGGGTAGATCTCGTCCTTGGCGTTGAACTGGCCGGGAAAACCCGCTGGAGAGCCTCGAGGGCGGGAGAAGAGAGAAGGGCCGAGGAGCCGGGAGGGGCGCTTTCTCTGCTGTGCACGTGGCTTATCCTCGTAAAGCAAATGGGAAGGAGGGGTTCTTTTTGTTGCCCTCCTGGAGTGGGAATAGCAGAAGGACGTGTCTTGCCCTCTGTTCAGCTCCAGTTGGCTTTGGATTTTTAACGTGCCTCCTTCTCCGTGTGTATGTACCAAGCCAGATCTCCATTTCTGGAGGCTGTTTCTAAGCAACTTTTGCCTTAAAGAGAAAGGAAGGGAACCGACTTTGGACTGTGGACAATTCACGTTCTCCCTTTGAAGAGATGGCTGAATATCCTCTTCACTCAGGAATTAATGTGATACACTTTTGGGGTGATTGAGCTGTGCAGGTATAAATATTCAGCAGCTCTAACTTAGAAGCATTTTTGGCTTCCTGAAAATTAAAATGAAGCAGAGCGTATATCTTCCAGACAGTTAGCTTAATTGTTACTCCCTTTTTAATTTTCCAGGAGATCTTTTAACCTTGTTGCTTAAACATTCTCTGTGCTTCCATTTATAGAAGAACAGCCTGGGAAAAGAATGGGTGGCTTTTGCCTTTCATTTTCATACATTCCTACTCTTTTGATGGAGCTAAATGGCTGCAGAGTATAAATTGGAAAAGGTGCAATTCTGGATTGTGTTTCCCAATGGTCAGACTAAATGAATGGGTCAAGCTCACAAGTTCAACAGAGGAATTGCAGCTATTAACCCTGTTTCCATTTGTAGATGGATCTTGGTTTTCCCTTGTGCTCCTGGACGGAAAGCTCTGCTTATTAATGGCTCTTGTGTGTGTATTTCCTTTTGCAAAAGGACCTTTTTTATTTAATTATGAATGAGAGATTTTTTTAAAAAGGCAAGTAATACCTGTACACACACAAAAAGGTGAAATGTGGATGGCCCGGTAATTAACATGACTGCCCAGTGATTTAGAATGCTATATTTATGGGAAGGTTTCTCTTCCTTCATTTCCCTGCAGGATTGTTTTGTTTCACTGATATATTGCCTTTCCCTGATATCAGCATTAAGGTCTTTGAGGTAAAACTTTTATGATGCTTGTGGCTAAACACTGTCTTTATTTATATAATTGATGTAATTGTTCATATAATATCTTAATGACCGTGAGCTGAAACATTATACTTGGAAGTGAGTCCTACGGAAATTAATCTGTCTAACTTCCATAGAAGGGCAATTTTCATTTGACTATGAATTACTTGATACACAAGTTCATATTTAACTTTAATGAAGGTAGAGATCCAAATATTTTAGTTGCATATGTTTCCATATACTTGGGATAGGATTGTTTCTTTTTAAACACTTGTAAATTACCATAGTTCACAATGTG